TTTATTCTTTCTTTTTTTTTTTTTATATATATATATATATATATATATATATATATATATATATATATATATATATATTATTTTTTACATCTTTAAAAATTATTTATTTTTTGCAGCCATTTGGGTCTAGTGTCAAAAAGGCCAAAATGGTCTGATTGTCAGACTTGCTAAAATACATTTATATAAATAATGTGTATTTATGTAGAGTTACTTTGTTTTATTCATCTTGTACACAAGTCCATTACTGTCTATTTTCATTACGCTTCAAATGGAAGCATAGTGAAACCTTACTTTTAGGCACTCAGACAATACTAATAAATAACGAGTGTAAAAGATCAGAGCTCAGTGATCCAGATAATACCATGGTGAGTGAGCATCCTGCATTTTAGCTAAATCCTGCCCCTCTAGAGCTCTTCTAAAATACTTGTGACCCTCATGCACCGCTCTGGCCCTGAGCGAGCTGCAGGCTTCACTTAATAATCTCTAATGCTGCTTATTGGCTTATTGTGGAGGAGAGATCCAGCCGAACAGGACAGAGCCCATCAGAGTAGTCTAATGCTCTCAGCCTGGTGTTACCACACAAGCGTAATGCAATCAAAAGAAGAGACAGAGCGGCAGAGAGGTGCATGGAAGCAGTGCTATGCATGTGAAAAATGTGGATCTATTGATCCTCGAAAGGTTTGGGGTTTAATTTAATAAAAGATTTGGCTGATTCATCATCTGAGGTTGCTTTTCTTATCCTGATCAATATGGCTAGACATTTTGCCTTGACTTTTTTGCAGCTTATTCTGCTCAAGAAACAAAAGTCATTGCCCATATTGCAAAAATACATTTTCAATATATTTTAAGTATATTTCAAAATATCCCATAACAGGCAAATATATATTGCTTGTTATATATTTAAAAATATTTTGCATAAATATATATTTCACTTTTTTATACTGACCATCGCACGAGTTCAGTTAATTTTGTTATTTATATTTCATCATACTTTTTTTTTTGTCCACCCTTGGCCATTTTTCATCAAAATATTTTTAATCCAAAATTATTTATATTGTCCAAAATTTAAAATGGCAAATTTATTATTACATTTGAAAATTACATTTCTTGCTCTTTGAAGTACAATTTATATCATATACGCAATTATTAAATTATGTTTTAAGTATGTAAAAAAAATTCCTAAGCTATGCTGCTTACAACATTTAGCATATGTTTGAAATACATTTTGTATTTTTATTTGCCATGGTGGCAGTAGTTTTCAGGTGCAATTTAGGGTCAATTTTATCTGAGGTGTGTTATTCCACAACCATATACAAGCATGAAAAAAATCGTAGAGTCATATCAGCCAGACATCTTTTAAGCATGATTCTTTCCAGACTGACCGACTGTGTGCAGTATTCATGCGACGGTCAGTGAATCAAGCATTTCTCGTGTCCTTATCCTGTCTGGTGACAATGATTGACAGGAGGCTGTGGCAGCATGTGACAGCGGCACTGAAGGCCGGAGACATAGATGCGGCCTCTGAACACAAACACCAGTTGGAGGAGAAGCAGAGAAGAGAAGGGAAGCAGAGAACAGCCAGCAGCACCACCTGGAAACCCAAGTACTTCATTAAAGAGGTGAGGCTTTCTAATCCTATACTAAATAGCATACTTCATGAAGACTTGCAGTCTCCAAACCTTCGTTTGCGCATAAACATACCATTTTTCATTTTCCTAGGGATGAGCAAAACTACATTTGTTAATAAAACCCCTTTATATTTAGATGGTTTCAGTTCACCAGACCTCAATCAGGTGTGTTTTTAATGAGATGCCAAAAAATTTGACCAAACTTGATAAAAATAAAAGTTTAACCATTCAAAAGTTTAGAGCTGCAAGACATTTCCGTGTGTTGGAAGTCTGAAGCTCATCAAGGCTGCATGATCACAGATACAGTAAAAAAAAAAAAAAGTAATATTAAGAAATATTTTTATAAATATATTATTTTAAAATGAAAATATTGCTTTTAACTAATTTTTTTTTAATATTTTTCAAGAATTTTTGATGAATAGAAATTTCACAAAAAAAGTTATTGAAAATAGACTTTCTGAATAAAAGACAATTTCTTGAAAAAATAATTATATATATATATGCATATATACTGTGTGTGTGTGTGTGTATTAGTGCTGTCAAATCGATTAATCGCATCCAAAATAATACATATGTATATTTATATGTATATATTCAGTAAATGCACACATACGTGTATATATTTAAGAAATATATGTAATATATATTTCTACATGTGACTAATCGCTCTGGAAAAGTACGTCATATACAGTACATGTAAATATTTCCTAAATATATACATGTAGGTGTGTGTATTTTTATAATATACGTATAATATGTATACACAAACTTTTATTTTGGATGCGATTAATCACGATTTATCGATTTGATTGGTGGCTGACTAAATACTTTTTTGCCCCACTGTATATATATTCAATTTAGCATTTTATGGAACATTATGCGTCATGTCAATGTATTTACAATGGGGCCAAATATTATTAATTTCCCTTCACTGTCCTGTCTTTCATGATTAGCTTCAGAGTCATGCAGGATATTGGTTCTCGTATCAGATCTAGCATGTCTATTATTTGTTTCTGTCATTAAATTGGCTGCAGGGGGACGGATGGGTGTACCACAATTCTCTGTGGAAGACGAAGTGATGAAGTCAAGCTGGAGCCACATGATTTGGGTCCGTCTCAAACCTTCAGCCCTGCGGATGTGAGCGAGGGGCTGGCCGACCAATGGGACTCAAGCAGCAGGAAAAGACATTGATCCATTTCTCCAACTCCTCTCACGGAGAATGAAAGGTGCCAAAAACAAAAAATGAACTCGGTGGTAAAAAAAAAAAGACCTCAAAAGCCCCTCTGGATAATGAAGATTTGATCTGGTAATCAATACAGAGTAAAGTGATTTTTCACACAGGAGAGATGTAGCATCTGTATCAGAGTATAAATGTTATATAACTGTTATTTTAGAACACCGTAAAGGCAGATATTGATGCATTCTGGGTATTCGAGAGCAGTGATGTATTCATGTTCAATAGAGCTCACCTCTCATGTTCTTACCATTTTATTTGAATGACTAAATCAATCTTACCATGAGGACAGTATTGTGCCTCAGTTGAACTTCTTGAAGAAAGAATAAAATGGATATTTAAAGGAATAGATTTTAAAATCATGTGCAAATGCATTTTTCCCTCATGATGATTTAGTAAGGTCAGGGATATGCATGCATTTTAGTCACTTCACTTTTCATTAAATCCAAGTTGGTATTTTTAAAATAAAAAATGCACATTGTATTGAATGCTAGTTGTTTTAATGAGGTGCAAAATACAGCCTATTTTTTTCTCTCAACAAACAGTCCTTGAAAATAGTTCAGATTAGGCTATTTTTGGGGTTTGTCTTAGTTTCAATTATTTGTAATTTTTCAAATAAATGTTAAATGTCCAAATATACATGTAAACATCATATATTAATTAACAGGGTCACCCATGTAGACAACATTGGGCTTTTTCAAGAGACAAGTTAGTTTGAGACCAAATGTTGGTTATTGAAACATACATTTCCCATAAAGAAAAATATTTGATTCTTGAGCAATAGATGAATGTAATCATGTGGTTAAATATACAAAATAATGCCAGTGTTGTATACAGACATTTGATGTTTAACACTAGCTATGGTTCATTTTATGTTAGATAATCATTTGTAACAATTCTTACAAAAAATTATTTGTGCCTTTAAATGCTTAATGTACACCGCTTTAGTAGAAAGTGAAATGCATTCCATTGCTAATGTAGTAAAGAGCTGTTGTCGGTTAACTGGCTTGATTTTGAGCATCTAAATCAGGTTATGTAAGAGTAAAGCCACAAATTCAGATATCACTAATCAGCTTCCCCCTCAGTATTTTCATAACTAGGACAAATGTGTAATATTTTTAAAACCAGCTGAACCACAACCAGTTACATAACTTGCTCCTTTTGTAACTTCCGTATTAGGCACAAAGTGTCTCGACTGAATGAAGATGAGTGCCTTCGAGCGTCTGACTGAGACGGATAATGGTGTATTAAAGCTGCACTGGTCTCTGTGCCAGTGAACAGTTTTGATCATAACACTGGCCATCAGCACACACACATAATAGATTATTAAAGTAGATCTCATAAACCCAGATTTCAGCTATATGAAAGCCAATTCAACATTTTTACATGCCATCATTTGCCCACAATTATACTGTGGTTGTAAAAAACATTTCTCCATTAAAGGGTATTAACGTAATTGTATCGACTAAAATTCTAAAAACATGAAAATCACATATTTCGTTATACTATAGTAGATGTTTTACCAGTACAATTTTTTGAGAAATATACATTTTTCAGAATAGTGAAGGATTTTTTTTTTTTAATGCTTGAACTACAAATACAACGATGTAATGTGCTAGAGCTGCCGCCTAGAGGACACCTATCGAAAAACACCAATGACTTAAAGCTGGAGATGATTTCACTTTCTATTAACAATAGGATCCTAGACAAAATGGGTGGGGAAAAAAAAAAGATGTGAGAGATCAAACATGGATAAGGCAGATTCTTTCATTGAGTCTTTTAATCACAAATGGCATCAACTCATTCTCACAAACAGCATCTTTGCCTTTCTCTCGCTCTTTTTTTAGATTTTTAAATTTTACAATTTATGGAATAAATTTTCACTTGAAAAAGAAACAAAAATACAGTTTTTGCATTTCAGGATGAAAGGCTTTCTCATTTCAACTTCAAACGCATTCTTGTTAATAAATACCTTCCCCAAAGCGTCAGAGCCCTCCGAGTAGAATAATATGGATATGTTATGGAGAAGAGGGGGGAAACCGATCAAATTTGCCTTCTAATTATCTTACAAAAACAGATGAAGCAAAAGCAATATGCAAGGATGAAAACCAGAAAGGCAGAAAACGAACAAAGAGGTTAGTTTAAATGGCAGCCCAGAAGAACCGAGGAAAAAACCCACTTGATGTTGCAGGAAGCACCCTTTTCAACGTTAAAAAAAAAAAAAAAAATCGGAATATTCACACTAAAAATACGCACTCTCCACCTGCATGCTACTCGGTAGTGGATCCACATTAAGGTGAACTAAGACAAAGTGCATTCAGGCTAGTAATGCAGCATTTTATAAACCTACAACTAATTCACTTCACTCTTTGTCCTGGCAGACAGTCGTTTAGGAAGGGGAGAAAAATTAGATTTATAATTGGCCCAAGAAAAACATCCATAAGCATCTGTTTTTCGCAAACGTGTGCGCAGGAGATGCCAAACCACAGCATCCCCTCTGGACAAAACACACGAGCAACAGAGGAAATACAAGCAGATCTTCTTCATTTGAATTTAGAATTATTGCATAAAATTTTACAACCAATAGAAAAACGAAACAAAAAAAAAAACTTCAAAATGATGTAACAAACAAAATCATTTAGATTCGAAATCACCACAATAGTTAAACATTACTAATAATCGAGTCCTTTGCTATGACTGCTTTAGGAAAAAAAAAAAAAACAAACTCAGAGCCACAGAGAGCCCACTGCATTCTGTCACGTAGGAAACTGGGTTTGTCAGATAACAGTTGAAACCAAGAGAGCATTTTAGGGGCTGTCGCACTGCAGACAGCTCCGTATTCCTCCGATTTTTCCATATCTTATTTTTAAATCGTTTTTTAATCAAAAGTTAACCATTTATTACAGGCTCTGACAAAACAAAAAATCTCTTTGGTGCTCCAAGGTTCACTGAGCTTGATGAAATTCATATTTGTTTGTTGTTTTAGCATTCAGTTGGATTATATTAAACTGTACCACAAAAATAGTGCGTGCCTTTTGAGACACAGACAGCGCTCTCGCTTCATCAGCACATTCAAGTACAAAAGAAAACAAACAAACAAAAAAAAAAAAGAGAACGCAAGAACAAAACTAAGTCCAGAGTTGTCAGATTAAAACCGCAGTGCAGATCCCCGTCCTCGCCTCATCCTCGAACCCATCATGGAACCTCCGTGTCGTCATGGCAATCGCGGGACCAAAAGCCTCCAATCAAATGTTCTCAGGTGGGCGGCGCCAGACAACATGTTTGTTCTTCTTTTTGATTGGTGGATTACTTACTAGTTGCATTTGTCCTTGTCTTTTGTTTTCCTTTTTGCCGTTCTCAACGTTTTCTTTCAATAGCTAAACAGACTTCTTGTTCAGTTTCTTGCCTTTTTTCAGAACCAATTTGTTTTTGATGTATCCCCTCTTCCTCTTGGCTGTCTGTGAACCAAAGGAAGCACGCACATTTGAAACAACATATCTGAGTCAACAACATTCATAATGAAAATGTACCATAGGACACAATAGTACTATATCTCAAATAGACGATGGTGAAAATAGAATCTAGATTTAGGTTAACTAATCCAAGTAAATAAAGGGAACTTTTGTTCAAATACTTGTAGTATTTAGTTGTCATTTGGCTACTATCATTCATATACAATAGTTTTATAAAAACAATAACAATTTTCTGTTAAAAAAAGTAATATAAAAATGTCCATAAAGTGTCCCATCTGTATTTTCTATAAATAGTGAGTAAAACTTGTCATAAATTAACTATAAATAATTAAACTAAACTATACCAAAGCCTTAATGTTTTAAAATAGTCACGTTTTATTAAATATATTTATTACTCTATATACACGACACAAAGTATTATTTGTAAAAGAAATTAAATACTGTAGCAATAATAATATATATAAAATATGAATTTACATTCGTTAATTACATATTTACAATATAGAATATTCATATCATAATAAATATGATCAAATGTATGTGTTTAAACAATATTTATCATCATATAAATATGTATTATTATTATTGATATCATTAAAAAGGCTACATGGACATGGTAGCCCTCAAACATGCATTTTGTTCTTTTTACATAAAAATAAATGATCAATTAATCGTGAGACAACTAAGAATTGTCAATTTACTATGGTCTTAATACAAATACCCCAATTAAGTGACAACTCTTAAATGTGTTCTTGTTATGGTTTGTTTAAAAATGATTGAAATTTACACAGACACATCATAGATGTTCATAAGGATGCTTTAATGGAATCTAATGGAATCTAGGAAATGGAATGGAAACCTTTTTTGAGGTGAACTTCTGCTTGGCTGCGATGTTGCGGAGCTTGTGGTCCAGAGCCTGTCGGTTCTCCTGCTTCTTCACCCTGTAGATGCGCACCAGCCAGTGCTCGGAGGTGAACGCCTCCTCCAGGTGCTTCAGATGGATGTCCTTGTTGCCGATCTCTGCATTTCGTGTCCGGTCAAATCCAGGAGGGGTGCGGAAATCCAGCTGGGGAAGGTGTTTTGGCATTAAGCAAGCAGCAAGGTTTCGTCTATGTGCATTACTACACTACCAGAGATAGCGATAGCTCAAAGATCAGCCCTTGTTTTCCAGCGTTGTCACAACACAATTACAAGACTCTTGTGTACAGACCTAATGAATAAGAGGGAAGCAACACTCACTTGCATTTCCCCAAAGCGGTAGTAAGACATCTTGTACATCAGACAGTTGAGCAGGGTTGGAGAGCCGGCCTTATCCACTCTAAACTCCCCCTGCGGTGTGAAGTAATCACTTTCCTACAAAAGAACAAAAAGATGGCCGTTTGAGGACTCATCTCTGATATGTAATAGCAGAACACATCGTCAATATCAAATGATCTCGGTTCATTAAAAGCCAAGTTTGCGGGGAAAAGACGACATCTCAAAAAACTGAAAAAAGTAAATCACAAAATAAAAGCATGTAAATGATGTATAATAACAGGAATATTTCTCGTTTTGGGCGAC